ATACACACATACATATATATACATATATACATATATACACATACATACATATACATATACATATACATACATATACATATACATACATATACATATACATACATATACATATACATATACATACATATACATATACATACATATACATATACATACATATACATACACACACACACACATATACATATACACACACAACCCTGGAGACAGAAATCAAAGACAGAGTGATGTCAGAGATGTTATAGGCATCTATAGGCGTCCTCTGTGTGCCTGTGAGCAGGAGCAACAGGGAACACAAATAAAGAAGTGCACAATGACCAAAACAATTCTTGATTAAAATGAACAGGAATTGAAATACAGAGATATAAGCCTGCAGAATATTCTATCAGACCTTTGTTACAGTGAACACATACGTAAGGCAAATTGTGCTTCATGAATCTATTTAAAGGGTACAGTGTCAAATTTCTTTTAAAATATTTATGAAGACACATCTAACTATTATTATTATCAGAGCAAGTAGTCACTGTTTGGGTGCTGATTACTGCTGTCCAATTTTGAAGTGTAACAGTGAGAGAGCATGCGTGTGTGTATATATGTGTGTGGGTTTGTGTACTGTACATGTGGGTGAATGAAGATGTACCTCTGAAAGGCCTGGGAATTACAAACATGAATTTCTCTGCTTTTGTATAGACTTGTCTAGAACAGATTGTCCCTCCCATCTGCCTGAGGACTCAGCACCAGCTGCCTGGCCTCGTCCCCCCACCAGTCTTCACCAGCTCTCCCTCCCTCTCTTGTTCCCCCCACGCCCCAGCAAGCATCAGCAGAGCCCCCCACCACCATGAACACTTGCCAGGGCATGAGGGGCTTCCCCAGGAGCCACCGGCCTCCCCCATCGCAGACAGTCCTGTACATGACTTTCGGTGAGTATGCCTCCATAGGGTCTGGCGCTCTGGGCATTTGGCTCATCCGTGTCACCTTCTGCCCTGGCTCTGCGCGGGAAGGGCAGAATACAAGGCAGCTCTGGCCCCAGAAATGAAAGCAGGGCAGCCTGATCCTAATGACCCATCCTGTCAAGGATCCGGGCGGCTTCGGGAACGGGAAAGAGGCATGGTGCACAAAAAGGGCGGACGACCCACTTGCGGCTCCAGGAAAACAAAAGGGGTTTATTACAGAAAACACTACAAACGACTAACCAAAAACAAAGGACCATGAGGGGTTAAAAGCTGAAGGGGATTAAACAATACAAAATAACAAAAACCGACTACACGTAGAACACTGAAAAGACCTAAACCATCAAACATCGCAACCCTTAATGAACAACAACTACTGCAGAACAACTACTGCAGAACATAGACAATCATAGACAATGAACCAACAAGGAACTAAACAGAAGCATGAACTAAAATACTAAAGGGGTAACGAGACTAACACAGGACAGGTGAGACTAATTAACAAAGACCAGGGAAACAGGGCACAGGTGAAACTAATACTCAAAGGAACTAAACAGGGAAGCTAATAACTAACCAAGGAAACAGAAACCAACACTAGGGAATCTAAATAGGTAAAGACAAGCAGGGGAAACTCAAATGAAACACCAGGGAGCAAAATACAAAAACAGAGGAGGCGGGATTCGAACACATGACAGAAGGGTACTCAGGACAGAAGGGTATACAGAGAACCACATGCTCAACACATTTAGCTAACAGGGGAGAACAAAGACTAACATGAAGGACAGGATGACCAGCAACACCTGCTGGTCAAGCGGGGAAGGGACACGGTAGGACCACAGCAGGGGCTGACCCTGACAGATCCATGTGCTGACTGACAGTACGACTGACAACACAGACACACCTCACTTCCTGCGCAAAGCTCAGACAGCCCCATAATCCTCCTGTGCTCAGCACCTGTTTGTGAACTTGACAGCGGGGTGGTGGCTGTGCCTTAAGGGGAATTGCTCTCACAGTCTGTCATGTTGGTGTTGGTCCTGTCGTTAAAGGTATATGATACATAATTACTCAAGGGACTGAACATTATTGTGCAGTTTCTGTGGTAACAACAGCAGTATAAGACAGAGCCACTAGAATAGCATAGTGATACTGTATTTATCTAGATACTAGGTAACAAGTAATAGGTACCAGATAACTAGAATGGTAATAGGGACAGTGCTGGCCACATGACTTCACCCACAAAGGATATGCATTTCCTCTCTGAATAAGCCGTCAATCACTGTGACAGTGTGGTTTTTCTCCTCTGTCACTGTAGTTATCTCCTCATTCTTCCTGTCACTCTTCCCTGCTGCTGTTTTTTCCCCAGTGTGATGCAGAGGTCCAGGGCTGGCCTCTCGCAGAGGACTGTCAAACTGCATTTACAGAACCTGTTAAGGAAAAGTGAGGCTCCTCCCCGCGTCCCCCACCCCACCCCCGCTGCTACGTCTACCTGCAGCTTGTCAGGCTGTAGGTGATTAAGCAGTGCTAATTAATTCAGCTCTCAGTCACCAGGGCTCCCCGCTAAATCGCAAGCGGTAATTTGCCTTGGATGTTAAACACGCTCGTGCAGAGAGACACCTCCTGTTATTCCGGAAAGACACACAACCACCACAAAAACAAGTAGTACACAAATAATTAGCATATAACACACAAATAATCGCAACAGCAAGGATTACAGGTGTATTAATTATGATACGAATGCCATGCACTATGGATTGGGGGCTCAAAGCAACTTTGGGGACATGGGGGACAGAAATGCTGCTGCAGATTAGGGAATGAGAGGGACAGAGACACCCAGCTTAAGGGATGTAAGGGACAGAGAAGCTCAGCTTAGGGGATGTAAGGGACAGAGACACCCAGCTTAGGGGATGTAAGGGACAGAGAATTAAGCTCAGTTTAGGGGATGTAAGGGACAGAGACACCCAGCTTAGGGGATGTAAGGGACAGAGACACCCAGCTTAGGGGATGTAGGGGACAGAGACACCCAGCTTAGGG